TCCACCCTGGCCACAGCGCACAGCACGACTATCGATGTGGAGGGTATGGCGGTAAGTGTGTGTGTTGGTAGACTTTGAGCCTGCTTGTCTTTTTAAGCGATGTCTGTTAAGACCCTACTTAATCGAGCAAAGACACATTGCTCTGAGAACGAAGGTTACAAAGAAGAACTCAATTATCTATTCAACCTATTTTCCCAAAACGGCTACCCCAGAGATTTTGTACGCAGATGCATGAAAGAGCAGGAATCAAAAGAAGGAGAGAAGGAACTAGATTGTTCCGATCAGACGCCAAAACCAAAACATTGGCGAACGCTTCCCTACATTAAAAATGTGTCTGAACTCGTTGAAAGACACCTGAGGAAGCACCAAATACAAGTGGCTCACAAACCGACTACCACGCTACGCAATCAGCTTGTACACCCTAAGGATAGGGTTGGCTATTTTGATAAGAAAGAAGTAGTCTATAAGATTCCATGTGGCACTTGTAATGCAGTGTATTGTGGTCAAACCGAAAAATCCGCCTCTACACGCCTACATGAACATCAATTGGCAGTGAAGAGGCGGGACCACTTATCCCAAGTCGCCATGCATACTCTTGAAACTGGGCATAAAATCGCTTGGGATAAAACACGCATTGTCGGTTCCTGCCCATATAAGAAAGGCTGAGAATTCCTAGAGGCCATTCACTCTGATGATTCATGCATCAACCGACGCATCGACCTTGATACCATGTACACAAGTCTCAAAGAAAAATGGAAAAGGTAATAGCCAATCAAGACGTGACATCAGCCCACAGCATTAACCAATCCTCAGTCATGACAGAGCAATATCGATTTTTTCGGCATTGTTTAAATTTTGACTGTTTCTTTACACTTACTACACGTCTGAAGACGAGCTGGGGAACCAGACTCAAAAATTTACGAAATAAAGTTTGTTCATTTTCCCAAAGGACTCATTCTTCTTCGAATTATGTTTCTTGGGATGCCCATCTTCCAGTACATAAGTGTTTCTGTATATTCAGTTCCGAGCTAACCACATTATCAGCAACGATATGTTGATGACGAGAAGCACCACAAATACAGTGGATGTGTTTTCCCGTGACCTGTTAGCTGAAATTCCGAAATGTATATTCAGTTCGAAAAGATTGCTTAAGTGAGGTTGTGATGTCAGTTATCGTGCAGAATAATCCCAAGGTGCTTCAATAACGCCAGGATTTCGGCTTTTAAACGATCTTCCTTCCGGCCGCCTGCGTAAACTGCACACTGTAAAAAGTAACAACATATGTAGTTAGAATTGTTCGTATCGATTGTCGATGCTCCTAAAAGTTTAAGAATATCTTGCAGAAAAATTGCGAAAAAGTGTATTTTGTCCTTATTTGGTAACAAATTACGTATTCTTAAAAATTTCATTCTTAGAAGGAAAAGCGTCTTTGGATTTTAAAAAATGTTTGAAATTTTCTAATCATCTAGACCCAACTTGCCGTTACATTTGTATTTGGAGTTCCCAAATTACAGTCTGTGTGCTCTCTGTGCGCGGATAATCGTGTACATATCTTCGTTTTCTAAAAGATATCATACAGGACTCAAAAAGTTTTTAAATATATGTGGGCCGTGGTGTCTTTGCTAAACGCAGCACTAATACACGTCCTGGTCCGATACTGGGTGATCGGACACTTCATGGTCTTATAAACTCTCATTATTGAAAACATCCCAAAAGCGTCTTCTTCGAGTGTTGCATTCTAAGAAGACGTAATTTGATACCAAATGGTTATAATGAGGGGTTTGGGGCAATTATTTTACAAAACATGTTCGAATTCATAAAGGTATTAAAAAGCAGTGCAGAAAATTCATATTGAGTAAGTAGGCATTTTTTTACAGAGCGTATTTCATCTTGAGGATCACAGAGAAGCTCGTTCAAAACCTGACGCCATGACGTAACTGAAATACCACGAAATATTGCTGCGTGATAATTGATATGACAACTCTACATAAGTAATTTTTCCGAATTGATCACATATTTCAACATTTATTAAGATAGCACACCCGCTATAGAGCCTTAATAATTGTCCGTCTAAGAATGCTGCTGGATCTGAGGAAGTTCGTGGAAATAAATCTAAACCTCCAATATCGTCCGGAAAGACGCTTTTGTTGCTGTTCCCCACAAACTCCTTAAAGCTGAATTTTTTTATCTTCAACGACTGCCGATTTGCAAGAACAATATAGTATTTTAAACACCGCATGAGATCCTGCCCCTTAATTTGTGATCGAGTGCGCGCACATTTTGCGTTTTCATTCGATCACTAGGATACCTTCTCCAGACTGCGCAATCCTTCCTTTTCAAATAAGTTACCCAGGCAGGCTTATCCGGCCGGTTATTAGGTTTGGAAGTTGTCTGTCTTTTCGAAGTTACAATTTTTGTTAGACTACCCATGATTTTTTAAACCACACACGAAACATTTCTCAGTGCCATATTTTTTCACGCTATCCCTAGAAAGAGCTTGGATATACTTCTTATCGCGTGTCTCTCGACATGTTTGTCAGTGGTTTGGGGGGAATGGTATCTTCACGATACGGATAGAAGGCCCCTTGTATTATAAGTGGTCTTGCCCCGAGGATTAGGGTTAGGGCTAGGCCTGGAAGGGCCTGGAATCATCTGTCTGTTGAGAAATTTAAAATAAGATTATTCATGAAGGCATTTACCGAAGTAGTGAGTTGTCGGGCGCTCCTTTTCGCGAAGATGGTCGTTTGGGTCAAATGTGAAGACTCATTCAAACATCAAACTTCATTTTCGAAAAATGTGACTGTCCACAACGAAAGTCATCAACGAATATGCCTTCGATCAATAAGAAAACCTTCCTTAGGTACCGAAACCGTCACGTCACTGGCGTAAAATACCAGTTGTCGTCTGTTTGACAGCTTGTTACAGCTGATACTGCAGGACTTGGCGGGTGGTTAATTACTTGCAGGAGATTTTTTTTGACAGAACCGTAACTACCCTATAAGTTACTTGTGCAACCGTTCAACTTGGAGAGTCATGACGATGAAAGGTGTTTGCCCAACTGGCATTCGTTTTGGAGTTAATTAAATTTCTGCATCGCAATCCCGCTTTTGCATTTTCCCCCGCAGTTGATACGCTGCAGCTGTCCTCGGATGGACCGCCGAGCGAAACCAGTGTTTACTACCTCTGAAGTAGTCATTAATTACTTTCGTCTAGCGACGTTAATTTGGTACATAAGAATATTCGGGGTAAGTCAGCAGAAACCGGACGATCAAATAAGTCTTAGTTTAAATAATCGAAATTATTGATATTCTGATCATACATTATTAACTTAAATGTACAAGAAAAAGTCAAAGAGGACAGCTGGAGCTAGTGCTCGAAATGTCTACGGCGTTTTTCAGTACGTTTAGAAGTCCTGTAAAAAAGGAGTAGCACACAAGTCGGGACAGGTCTTCTCCGGTTTTTGTATGAGAATTCACTATTCTTGCGGCAAGTTGGTGAACAGACCTCGGAATTTCAGCGTACATTGGGATTTTCAGCACGTGAAATAAGAAACTGCCTAAGCTGATCGTATGCCGCACTACATCCTCTGGTCAAGGTCTCACAAGTCAGGGGAACTTATCTTCAATAACGCCTCTGAATATTCACACGTTTAAGCCCCTTGCGCGTCTGCAGAAAGGTGTTAGTGCATCAGGCGCGGCAGGGCCTCTGGCCATGATGTTTGCATGGCGCAGTCGCTCCCATGCCCAGTCCGCTTGTCCGGGAATGAGACCAGACCAGACAGCGCAGCTTGCAATATTCTCCTGATGGATAGGTAAACAAAAGTGAATGCCCTTTGTGCTTTTTGACCGTCGGTTGATGTCATAAACGTTCGCACCAGCGTGCTTTCCTCCCGCTCTTCTTCCTCTCTTGCACGACAGGACTTTTGTTCACTGGGGCAACTGGATAAAAGCAGTAAGGAGATCTACCACCTTGCAATTTTCCTGGTGGTGTTTTTTTCATTTATGACCACTCCATTCTTTTGGAAGGAGAGTACACAACAGCATGGGTTACAGAGAGAGAGAGACAGATGGCGAAAGCAACAGCAACCGGGGAAAGGCGCACAAAGATTCAAAATTTGAACCTCGTACGATGCCAGAGAGCGTTGTTACTTTTATGGACAGAGGAGTAGGTGGGGGGAGCAAGGAGGCTTTATAATCATCCAAACGTGAGTACTGAGACGTCCATACTCACCCCCTATTTGTAAAAGTTTGCCCTCAAGCGCTCTCTTGGAAGATACACGTGTGTTTCCGAATCATTCGAAATGTCCTCCATACAGCAGCAGAAACATCTACAAAACAAGGGGCTTGTTATGGAGCTCTATAGCCTGTTAGAGAGCTCTGGTGGAACCACCATCATAAATGACGATGGTAACGCAGATGATACTTGTAGAAGTTGATTGATTTCGAGTTAAAGGTTTGTTACATTCCAGGAGCTGTCATTAGCGAGCGGCCTCTCGAGCTTCTAGTTCCAAGTCATCCTTTTAATAACCTGCGCACTTGTAAGTTTATAACATAGACGGGTTTATGGCTCGGACCCCAGATGGGGTCAGAGCCATAATTTGAGGAATGAAGTTGCGTTGTGTCTGTATATCCGCGGGTTTGTTTTCAGGCTCTCTGCTACCATAGCTTGGCCGCGGTCCTCCCGGCAGTTGGTCGTTTGTTTGCGATCCCGTACACCCATTTGGGGCTGGTTAGCGTTGCGAAACCAGCAGATCCGTGTGTTCTACTTCATATGTAAATGGATACCCGATCTATAACGTCAGAGAAAGCAGGTTGGCGGCCCTCATAGTTGCAGTAGAGTCAGCGTGCTTGTTCGGTAGGGAAGGCCAATTGATCATCGACTCCTTTTTTGTGTTAAAAGGATCCGAGAAGGGTTGAAGTCGGCGGTATCCTAAAAGCCCGTGAGATACTGCTTTGATTACAATAGTTGTGTTGTCGACGTAGTTGGCCCAGAATTTTGGGTAGTATGCGACGGATACCATTCACTCGAACTTCTGCTTCAGCTGTCAGAATGGTTAGAGCCGAATACGTCACGATACTCTTCCTTTACTTGAAAGACTTTCAGTTAAATGTGAGGAACGTCGTAGGACACAGTTATAGGAACTCGGCCACGCGCGCTTACTTGCACCGGCTTTCGGTTTCGTCTTATATTTTTTGGGAGCAGACCATCGCTATTGTCGATGTAAGGGCCGGACTGGATAAAGGTCACTGAAGAAATCACATCAAAAAGCACTAGCATCTCGTATGCCCCCCGCTCTAAATGTCTGATAAGTACCCAAAACTTGCAAACCGGCTTCATATAACATTCGGACTCCATGGCAAGGAAGCGACGTTTTCGGAGGAGACACTCACGACCCGATGCTTGGATATCACGCAAGGAGACGAGGGCGAGCAGAAACATTCCTCGTCTGTGTACTTTTGACAGGTCGTAAGGGCACGCCATCTTAGCATTAATGGGCTTGCAAAAAAATGCTGACAAAGACATGAAAATTGAGGAGGTCGCTTCTGACAGATTGGACGCCGTCAGCCAGCCATGCCCTAACACCAGTTCGGAACGACTGTGGATAGAACTTGGACCTTTCGGCCACTGAATGTTTGGTGAGCATCCTGACGTTCGGCAGCGTAATGATTTTCCGGTCGGTTGTGCACATCAGTATTGGCAGACACACAGAGCAATAAGTTACGATCGCCGTCAATAGGGCAATCATCTGGGCGGAACGTGTTTGCAAGAAAAATAAATGCATGAATAATTATAGAGAATGCGGAAAGGCCGCTTTTGGGGCCTAGACATCCGATGTTTCTAATTCTAACTCGGGCCCAACATCAAGAACATATGAACACTGTGGTCTGAGCTGAAGATTAAAATTCCTTTACAGTAAGGTAAGGTTATTTTTGTAACCGTTCACTTGTTGCAGCCGCTTTTTCTGGGCACATTTAAAAACACGGGAAATTCCATGCGGGCCTCCCAATACTCCCCCACCTAGGATGAGCATTTCCCTGAATTTGTACGAGATAGGGGTAACAGCCCATTCATATAACAACGAATAAATCTGCTTGCTGCTTATAATCACATTCAATTTCGGTATTTTGCATCGCCCATACGCACCTCAGGGTTGTAGGTCGGCCATTTGAAAGAATGTATGAGCAAAGGACGCGAAATGTGACAGATAAATGTTGAAAAAGACTATGCAGATGCGATTTATGCAGTTGCGCGCACTTTGCAAATTAGGTACCAGTCCACAATGTGACTTTAGCTAACTGAATTCACGTGACTTTCAAGGAACCTATAACATGCTAAAAGAAGAACTTATAACAGCCAGTAAATATTTCTTCGTTAACTGAATAGGAATGAGTCACTGGGCATTGGTTACTGCTAACTGGCCAGGAAGACCGACGTGCTGTGGGTGAAATGCGCGTTCGATCGTCGCAAGCGATTTCGTCTGCCACCGTCTCACTATTTTCGCCCAGCATCAGCGGCTTGCGCATGAATTGGTTTAGAGTGACACAACCTTGTCCAGCATTTGTCGTACTCTCTGTTCCCTCGCCCATCGTACTGGCATGGCAAGACAAAGTCAAGACTACTGGAGGTGGACTTGGTCGTGGTGGCCGAGAAATCTAAACACCCATCTACGAGTAGCACACCACGACCTGGCTCACGATCCATACGTACCTGACTACGATGAAGGCGACTCTGATCTCAACTGGTGATGATGATGCCATAAAGCCCACCTTGGGAAGTAGTCATTGTAGCATAGCCTCCAGCCCTGAAAGGGACGGAGTTATCACTTTAGTTAAAGGCCCTAAAAGCCTTGACTTACAACGCGTAGTGCTAGGTCCACGCGCCTCATATTTTGTATACTGAAGGCTGTGCGATGTGTCGTGAAGGTGGTTTCCCCATCGTCAGGCTTAATATCCCTTCCTCCTCCCATGCACCAGTCGACTCTCTGAGACAGTCAGATAAGTGATGTTGGGATTTGAATGTCTGAAACACAATAGAAAGACGAAATGAAGTAAGAATGTGTTCGCTTAAAAAACCGCTGCAACACGTTATGAAAATCTCAGTCAGCAATTCTCAATTTTAAAAGGATTAATTTCAAATTCGAGTGGTCTTGTGGTTAAATTTGAGGAGGATTACTCAAGTAACACGCTGGGTTACACGAGTTTGAAGCTAAATGCTGGCTATTTTGTTAGAAAAATACAGATATGATTCAAAAGTCAGGGGACCACAAGAGAAAAGGGATATTGTTGTCAATGCATTCGTAAAAGGTTGGAAGCCAACAAAACTTTCGAAGCTCCATATGGATTTTAGCGCTGGTGAATCTAAACTGTTGTGACTTGTAGCCGAAGATGATTTCCTGAATAGCAAACAAGCAGCAATGTAACGTTCCAAAGATGAATTGATTGCCCAACTGTCTTCTGCACCGCAAATCTGTCCGGAAATGACCATTTGGAGCCTTCATTTAGGGACAGGACGTCAAGTGCCTATGTCCTAAGGGGCCTACCACGGATAGATTATCTATAATTTTGTACTCACAAGAGCATGCGCATGACGTCAGTTGGGTGGGGCTCTGAACGGCTGCAGAGCATAACATGGATTCTGTCGCTGTGGGTCGCTGGACGGCACATTTGCATCCAATTTGTCTTAAGTTCTAAGAAGTGACTTGCATATCCTGTACTTCGTTCTTACTGGAGTCTTCACGGGAGAGTGCGTTGGCAGGGACGCAAAAACATTCGTTCGTCTTTCAAATCAGCAGACACCTATTCCTTGAGCATCCTGTTGTTGGACTTTACATTATTGACCATTTAATTGAGGTTTACCTGGGAACAAATGAAACTCCTTGATTTAATACTTGTCATCTAATCCCCTTTCACGTGTTTTTAGAAAAGCGCATCGCTGTCTAAAATAAGATATTCAAGTCATTGGCTTGTATGTTATTGACTGGGAGTCTCAAACAGTTCCTGTATTTTACATTTAGTTAGTCTCTAACAAAATAAATTTGCATAAAACAGTCTTCATTATTTGCCACGCGAAATTGCAATTAGGTTTATAGCTATAGTATACAGATGTAGCATACGCCTAAACGTTGAGCAGAAGACTGGCAACTCTCATCCTGGACTCCTAGCATTGAGATGACTCCACTAGAAATTTGCTCGCCTAAACTTGAGCACGGAATTCCGCTCACTTTCTTCAGAAGTTATTAGTAGCTAATCTCTGTTTTTCTTGTGATCGTCATTCAAAGTGGTTTATTTTTTTCTTACCATCACTGATTTTTGTTAGCGAACATTTTACGCATCTGAAAAGAATACTTTAGATCGAAGGGTGGATGATATACTGCCAGCAGAAAGCACAGAAGCGCCTTTAATCGTTTAGGGCATAGTCGACCGCAGTGATTTTTTGCACAATGAGATAAAATACTAAGGGTCACTCCTTTATAGTGATTTGCTGCCTCCCCTAAAGTGGATAGAAATTGGTTTCTGCTCAGATTCTGGACTTGCCAATCCTAGATCATCCCCCTCCATCCGCCCGATTATCTCAAATTCACAGATATCCGCCGTCCCTCCCGGCCTAGTGATATCGCCACTCAGTCCGCCCCTGACCAATATGGGAACCATTCTTTCTCAACAGCGGTTAACCTCGGCCAACCAAGTGCCCGTTTCCTATGCAAACTCTGTCCAGCAGCCCGTCACAAGTGACGCAAACTCGGGATTTTGGTTTATCCCTACGAAAGTTCCTCGGTAGGTTGGTTTTCTCATTGATTTACAAAAAACAAGCAGTTTGGTGGACAGACGTATTGATGCGGTCAAATTGGCGACCTACACATTTCACAGTTCAGTTTGCATTTTTTCATTGACTTTTATTTAGTTACCTCCCTTCTTCGATAGCTGGAGGCATACGGCGTGTTAATTCTTTAGGAGTCATGTATCATATTCGTGGTTCTGTTTTCGAGAATTTTAAGCGAACTGTCTGTAATATTGCGTTAGTATACGGGCGTAAGCTTTTCAACTGGGTTCTTTCTTTTCTCCTTCGTTCTTAAATCAATCTTTTCCCTCCTCCTCCTCCTCCTCCT